TTTTAAATATATACATCAATTATTAGCTTAATTTCCAGTTACAGGAAACAATGGGATCTACAAGGGTGCAGAGAGTGAAATAATAATTTTTCCTCATTTTATCTTTCAAAGACTTTTCTGCTCTGTTTAAGGCTTAACAATTATATGGAAATATGGGAGTAACTAAGATCACAGATTAAGATAGGTGAGACATTGATGAGATCTCAAGTATAGATTTACCACTCAGAATTCAGAGACACCCAACAAATAAAATCTAATCTCTTCAGAGCTGTCAGGTGAATAATAGAAGGGAGATATAATCAGTTTTTCAAAAACAAACTCCTACTTCTATAGCACAGTCCCAGAGACAACAGAAACTTATGGAATAGAGACCAAAGTCCTATCAAGAGACCCAAGTCCCGCTATGGTGCAGTGGGTTAATGCCTTGGCCTGAAGCGCTGGTATCTCATATGGGCACTGGTTTGAGACCCAGCTGCTCCACTTCCTATACAGCTCTCTGCTATGGCCTGGAAAGGCAGTGGAAGATGGCCCAAGTTCTTGGGCCTCTGCAGCCACATGGGAGACCCAGAAGTTGTTCCTGGCTCCTGGCTTCGGATTGGTGCAGCTCCAGCCACTGCGGCAAATTGGGGAGTGAACCATTGGATGGAAGATCTCTCTCTCTGTCTCTGTCTCTGCCTCTCCTCTCTCTGTGTAACTCTGACATTCAAATAAATAAATAAATCTTTGGGAAATAAAAAGAGAGAGACCCAAGCCCAAAAAACTAGAAGCTTAAGAATAGCAAAAGAAGATGACACTGGCAGGAAGCAAATCTATGTTCATGCGAAGTGGAAGCAAGAAGTCAGGGAGTTTTTCAGCTCACTGGGGATGTATGTGAAATAAACACAGATATGACATACACTGATGTGTTACACCATGGATCACCATGCTAGGTATGGGGGTGGGCACCAGGTGTGAGCTCTGGAACCAAAACTAGCGCTGAGCACCACACAGCTGTGACAGAACAAATGGAGTAAGATGTTGAAAAAAAACAAAGTAAAACGTAAAATGTTAAATATGTGCAAGTATAAGGCACATAGGCAACATCTCATAATTATTTACATATAAAATCAGGTTGGTGGAAGCATCTGGAAAATGATGGTCAAGGAAATTTTTTATATGGACTTTGAGTTGATGTAGAAGAAAAAGTACAGCTATAGAACTGATAGGTTCTTTTTAGGGAACTGTAAGTCTTTTTAAAGAACATAACTTCTAAAGATTTCTTTATTTTCTTGAAAAGCAGAGCTAAAGCAAGGGAGATACCATTCTCACATCCACTGGTTCTCTCCCCAGATGCCTACAACAGCCATGTCTGGGCCCAGCCAAAGCCAGAAGCAAAGAATTCCACCTGGGTCTCCCATGTGGTAGGGTGGGAGGGTATAAATAAATAAAGAAACAAAAAGCAACAAACAGAACTAACATAACAAAAAGTTCTACCTTAAATGTCCAGTTGGAAATGAATATTCTTTTAAAAATCGTACAAAGAAGCCAGAGAAGAGTTAATAATAAAAAGTATAAGCAGTAACAACTGATCATAGGACAAACAACCATACAGCAGCTCACTGAAAAGCAAATAAAAACTACAAATGCATGCCAAACACAGACAAATCTTATAAACATAATATTGAGCAAAGGAAACCAGCCACAGAAGAACACATATAAATGCTGGGCATGTAGCCTAGCATCCCACATTGGAGTACCTGGGTTCAATAGCTGCCTCTGGGTCCTGAGTACAGCTTCCTGCAAATTCAGAACCTGGTAGGCACTAGGAATGGCTCAAGTAATTGGGTTCCTACCACCTACATGGAAGAAGTGGATTGAGTTCCTGGCTCCTGCCCTCCGCCCGGCCCTGGCCATCAGAGATATCTGAGGAGTGAAGCAGCACATGGGAGTTCTCTCTGTCTCAAATTAACACTAACAACCTACTACATATTGTCTACGTATAGAAAGCTCCAAAAATGGGAGGGGGCAATTAGCACAGCAATTAAGCCCCTGCTTGGGATACCCACATCCCACACAGTTAAGTACCTGGCCCTGCATTTGAGTCCCAGCACCACCTGCCCCGCCCTCTATTCCAGCTTCCTACTAATGCACACCATGGGAGGCAGAAGGTGATGGTTTAAGTAGCTGGGTTCCTGCCATCCATGTGAAAGACCCAACAAATCTGTCTGAACAGTAGGAATCCTTATAAGGGCAATACTGATTCAATGAAGTGCAAAGAGGCATCTGGATGCTTTGTGTGTTTTTTTTCTTTTTCTAGATGTGTTTTCGTTACACACCTTTTTAAAGAATTTTTCTGAGGCCGCACCGCGGCTCACAAGGTTAATCCTCCACCTGCAGCGCCAGTACTACGGATTCTAGTCCCGGTCGGGGCGCTGGATTCTGTCCTGGTTGCTCCTCTTCCAGTACAGCTCTCTGCTGTGGCCCGGGAGGGCAGTGGAGGATGGCCCAGGTGCTTGGGCCCTGCACCTGCATGGGAGACCGGGAGGAAGCACCTGGCTCCTGGCTTTTGGATCGGCAGCGCCGGCCATAGTGGCCGTTTAGGGGGTGAACCAACGGAAGGAAGACCTCTCTGTCTGTCTGTCTCTCTCTCACTGTCTAACTCTACCTGTTAAAAAAAAAAAAAGAAAATTTTTTTCCAGGGGCTGGCATTGTAGCATAGCGGGTAAAGCAGCCGTGTGCAATGCTAGCATCCCATATGGGTGCCAGTTCGTGTCCAGACTGCTTCCTATCTGATCCTGTTCCCTACTAATGGCCTTGGAAAAGCAGTGGCAGATGGCCTAAGTGTCTGAGCTCCTGCACCCATGTGGGAGGCCTTGCTGAAGTTCATGGCTTCGGCCTGGCCCAGCCCTGGCCACTGCAACCATCTGGGGAATGAACCAGCAAAAGGAAGATACCGCTCTGTGTCTGTCTACCTCTCTTTCTCCTTCTCCTTCTCCCTTTCTGTAACTCTTTCAAATAAATAAATCTTTAAATAGATCCCCACCCTACAGGACATCTTCCTCTAAGTGTGAACACATCAGCCCTCCCCTACATGGCCTCTGCCCCACTGATGTTACTCCCTTCAACTTTTTCTAAGGTCTTTTCTAGTCTCCCAAATTTGGGTCACAGAAGAAAAAATTTCAAAGAATTTGAGTCTGCATATACAGTTGATCCCGGTGACTAGAGCAAAACCACTGTATGCACAGTCACTCTGTTCAGCCAGCCCGGATCTCAGTGCCACCTATGCTGGGAGGCTCATTGAAAACATGGCGCTGCCTGCTCTTTTCCATGCATGTCTCCATTTAGCACTCTGTGCCCACGTAATCCCGGAGCACTGAGCTGGCACATTTCCTGCCGTTTGCAGATACAACATAGTACAGGAACACACAAAAGCAGATTTGCAAATAGAGCTCCTCACCACTGTGATTTGGAAATGCTCACGTGATCTAAGCATCCTCCTAGGCTCCCAGTTTGAAAATCACAATGTCTCCCAAATACTTGAAAGCTATCACGAGTTGACTCTTATAATCACTGCATTTTTCCAGTCACCCATGTCAAAACAAACCATTGCTTCTTTACAACTGGCGTTCTGCTTGTTCCTGTCGGGGTAGACAGCTGCATTCATTGATTCTGGCTCTTGCCTATTTTAATTTTTTTTTTTTCATTTAAAAAATTACCCAAGTGACGTAGAGAGGGAGGATGAGGTTGGGGGAAAGAGTGTTTTCCCATCTACTGATTCACTCCCCCAAAGCCCTCAGTGACCCCTGGCTAGGCCTCAAGCCAAGAGCCAAGAATCTCAAGTTTCCTACACAGGAGCAGGGACCTAGGCACTTGAAACATTACTACTACCTCCCAAGGTGTGCATAAGCAGGAAGCTGGAGTCAGGAGCAGAGCCAGGACTGATGCCCAGGCACTTTGACATAGGATGTGGGCCTCCCAAGAGGAGACATAGCTACTAGCCAGACCAGTGTTCACTCCTCTTTCTCCCTGGTTTGCAGAAACTGAAGGCTGCCTCTAGGCACATGCTCAAAAGTAACAGTGTCCTTTGCTCTTATTTTTAGGATCTTTTTCTCAACTTCAGCTATTTACTTTGGCTTAACTTTTGACTATTCATATCTGCCAACTTCAAGGAAGAGAGAGTGAGAAAGACACCTGAATTTCGTTAAGTATCTTTCAGGGTAGGGGAAGAAGCCACACCCATCCTCACAATGTCAGTAACACTTCAAAATAAACAGTTTGCCTGAAATCTATCACTGTCTCTTCCAGGCATCTGAGTATCAAATCTTTTCATTTTCTTTGCTATGATCCTAATCAGACATAGCACATACCACCCACTGCTCCTTAATTTAATAAAGACAAGACAAACCAGACAGTGCATTCCAAACCCATGTCTTAAGCCAAGGCATTCATAATAACAGGTACCCTAATTGTATTATATTGATTTCCAACAGCAAAATTAAATTACATATTTCAAAGAATATCTACAACAAGCTAACATGGTGATGTCTAGTTTAGTGGGAAATCATTTGGGTTGGAAAATATGGCTTCATGTCTCAAAGCATATCAAGAAGATCCCATTGCAAACATTAAACTGTATTACGCTCAGTGGATATACAGTAAGCAGGATTATGTATGAGACTGCAATAGCCATTAGGAACAATACATACAGAGAGACAGGCAAATGTTAACTGTCTGAGCCATGGTTATAAAATCGTAAACCAAAGTAAAAAAAAAAAAAGAGTATAATGAGATGACTCCTTGACTTGGGTTAGGTCCAAAACATTGTAAGTACTCTCAAAAATACTATTTTAAATGTGTTTACAACAGAATGAAGGAAAAATATTACCAAGCCCAAGAACCACATCTTCAACTCAAAAGAAATAATGATTGAAGTTTTAATTAAACACAACCCCTAGGAACAGAATAATACATTTCATGATTAGCTAATTCATGTTCATACAATCAGTAATGACTGCACCTACCTCATTTAAGTCCTGCTGAGTTTCAAAAGCATCCTTTGGCCAGACAGAAGTCCTCTGGTCTATTCTATAAAATACAAAGGAAAATGATTTCCATTTAAAAGAAACTTCTCAACACTGGACCTTTGAAGCTGGCAGCTCTAGATGCAGCCATACCTCTGTTAAAAACCCTTAGTAGTATTTCACTGCCCATGAAATCAAATCCAGGCTTCTGACAGTGGCTTGAGACAATGACAGTGTTTGGTGTGACAGTGACAGTGTCTGGTCTCACCCTCACCCTTGCCTATCACACGCCAGCCACCTTCCCTTCTGCTTCTTGAGCACACAGTGCTTGTTTCTGGTGCAAACACACTTGCTGTCCCCGGACCCAAGGGGACTATTCTCTCCCGGAAGATCTGCAAACCACCGTCTTGTCTCAGCACGGGTAGCATCAGCTCGGCTCACCCATCCCCTCCCCAAGCAGGACCTCCAGACCTCCCTACCAGAAGCAGCTTCCCTCAGTCACCAGCACACTGTCTTGCCTACTTCCTTCCTAATGCTTTTTACAATCTGAAATGATGCCTGCTCATTTGCATTTCCACACTATAATGTAAGCTCCAAAAAAGCACAGGTTATGCCCATTTTTTGCATTGCTCAATCCTCGGTACCTAGTAAAAATATATATATGTATATACATATATACACACCCTTTTTTAATACACAGGATCTAATATAGTAGTTATAGAAAGATACCATTTGTTTACAGAATTTGGCTGGTAGAAATTTCACCCTACTGCGGCCTACGCTGTGGTGCAGTGGGTTAACGCCCTGGCCTGAAGCACCAGCATCCCATATAGGCGCTGGTTCAAGACCCCACTTCTCACTTCTGATCCAGCTCTCTGGTAAGGCTTGGAAAAGCAGTAGAAGATGGCCCAAGTCCTTGGGCCTCTGCACCCACGTGGGAGACCCAGAAGAAGCTCCTGGCTCCTGGCTTCGGATGGGCGCAGCTCCAGCCATTGCGGCCAATTGGGGAGTGAACTCTTTGCTTCTCCTCTGTGTAACTCTGACTTTCAAATAAATAAATAAATCTTAAAAAAAAAACTAGATTTTTTCTATCTGCTAAAAAAAAAGAAAAGAAAAAGGAAATTTCACCCTGTCTCTTAAACAACAAATGTTATAATCATCGCTGGGCTATCTGTAAAGCTGGTGCTATGGTTTGAACAAGATTTGGCTCCCAAACTCAGACATTTAAACCCTATCACAGTTGAACCAAGACAATGTAACCAGAAAACTAACGCCTGGCAGCTCATATTGAAGCTGAAGTTAACCTTACATGGATGCATAGGTTAACGACAGGAAGAGGTTAGACACTTAATCCCTATGTGGTGTTGAGAGGGCAGGGCCTAGTGAGGACCCTTAGGGCACTGTGGATATGCCACTGGAAGGGAGTTCCTGAGAGCTTGTCATGAAGTCTGTGTGGGGCCCAGTACCTGTTTCTGCTTCCTGCTCACCACGGGATCCCTACTCTACTGAACTCCACTCTCCTTCAATCCCACCCAGAGTCCCTTGACTGTGGACTTCAATAAATCTTTCCCTTTATAAAATTAGCTTTCTCAGGTATTTTGCTGTATGGATGAAAAGCTAATAGATACAGCTGGGTTTTGTCATGACAAAGTTCCCAAGAAATATGGTTGTAAAACCAGGCGTATCTATTCTGAATCAATCTTCTTTAGTTTGAAACAACATACACACTCACACATCAGTGCTGGAAGATGATTAGGTCCAAATTATGATTTTTCAAATTCTGTACTCCAGTGGCATCTGTTACATAGCATTCAAGTTTTTTCTGCAGCAGTCATATGCTATTATATAACAAACATATTATAGTTATTATCCTTATGAAAATGAAAGCTATCTCAATGAATAAGAGATTTAGTGAGTGTTACGCCATTCGTAACAAAATTTATTTGGGGACATTGTTAATTATAGCTATTATTGTCTCAGTTGAAATGAAGAAAGTATATTCCTATGTCCTCTGAATGTTCAACAAGATTAATGATTTTAAACTGTCATAATGCATTAAGCAGTGTGAATTTAGAAATGCCACAAGCCTAACTTCTTCAAAACGCTCTTAAGAATGAAAAGTTCGGCTGGCGCCGCGGCTCACTTGGCTAATCCTCCGCCTACGGTGCCAGCACCCCAGGTTCTAGTCCCAGCTGGGGCACCGGATTCTGTCCCAGTTGCCCCTCTTCCAGGCCAGCTCTCTACTGTGGCCCGGGAAGGCAGTGGAGGATGGCCCAAGTGCTTGGGCCCTGTACCACATGGGAGACCAGGAGGAAGCACCTAGTTCCTTGCTTTGGATTGACGCAGCGCGCCAGCCGTAACGGCTATTTGGCGGGTGAACCAACAGAAGGAAGACCTTTCTCTCTCCAACTCTGCCTGTCAAAAAAGAAAAATGAAAAGTTCTTTTAGACCACAGGTGTTGCTACCTGTTCCAATAAATTACTTCAATGAGAAAAATTAGGAGATGGTAACACAAGAAAATTGTCAAGTTCAGACTGCCTTTTGTACCTGCACAAACCAGTTTTTCCCTCTTATGAGTAACAGACCAAGGCTCCCAACCATAAGCTCAGGCAAAGACAGCTCTAGTTTTGAGGAAACAGAGAGGAAGACAATTGCCAATACACCCATCCTGAGTTCATTAACCCCCTTAGCCCTCCACAGTGATTTCACGACTTCAGAAATGATGAAGCAGCTCTTTCCTATGTGGTGGGTTAGATAAAGATCCAGAAGAAACAAGACCCCAAATAACTTCATGATCTGTTCCTTACCAGATAAGTACTCTTAGTCAATACACTAACCCCACTTCTCGTCATTAGAGTGAAGATGGGGGTGGGTGTTTAGCATACCTATTAACTTGCCCCTCGGAGAGCCCCCATCCCGTATCAGGGTGACTAGGGTCGAGTCGTGACTCCAGTCCTAAATCCAAATTGCTGCTAATGTGCACCCTGGAAAGCAACAGGTGAGAAGTCAAGTACTTGAGTCCCTGCTCCCATGTGGGAGGCCTACTTTGAGATCTGGGCTCCCAGCTCTGGCATGGCTGAGTACTGGCTGTTGCAGGAATCTGGAGAGTAAACTAGTAGATGGGAGATTTCTCTTTCTGCCTCTCCAATAAATATTAAAAAATAATAAAGTAAAAATGATAATCACAGCTACCTCATAGACTAATATATAATGTGAAAGCCAACTAATGAATAATGCTTATCACTGCTGTTAGCTCTAACACATAAGTCCTATACTCATGTGCAGATGCTCCGTGATTTACCATAGGGTTACATCCCAATAGCCCATCCTAAGTTGGAAGTATCCTAAGCTGAACATGCATTTAATACACTTGACCTACTAAACAATTTAGCAACACAGTACACACTGCAGGGTATCTGGTGTTTATGCACGTGATCTCATGGCTGACTGGGTGCTGTAGCTCACTGCTGCTACACAGCATTGTAAGATAGCACCATACTGCATATCCCTAGTGCAGGAAGAGTTCAAAATTCAAAGTTTGATGTAGTGTCTCCTGAGTACGTATCACTTTAGTGCCATCCTATTATTGAAAAATTCTATGTGAAACCGTTATTAAGCTGGGGACTGCCTGTATGAAAATCCTATAGTAGAATTTTTATGTAATGGTGATAACTAGTGGAATATTTTTATTATTATTATTATTAATAATAAATTAGGCCTTTTAATAAATAAGCTGACATAATGAAGCAATGAGAATCACGAAGCATGTTTCTGGATATATGAGTCGTTAAGGAAATGTAGAAGTATCACTAAGGGGATAAGAGGCCAAATCAAATGAACACTTGAAATACCAAACAGGAAGAAGTTATTAGAATAGTGTAGAGAAGGCCGGCGCCGCGGCTCACTAGGCTAATCCTCTGCCTACAGCACCGGCACCCTGGGTTCTAGTCCCAGTTGGGGCGCCAGATTCTGTCCCGGTTGCTCCTCTTCCAGTCTGGCTCTCTGTTGTGGCCCGGGAGTGCAGTGGAGGATGGCCCAAGTCCCTGGGCCCCTGCACCTGCATGGGAGACCAGGAGAACCACCTGGTTCCTGGCTTCGGATCGGCGCAGTGCGCCAGCCACAGCAGCCATTGGGGGTGTGAACCAACGGAAGGAAGATCTTTCTCTCTCTCTCAGTGTCTATAACTCTCTCTTTCTCATTGTCTAACTCTGCCTGGCAAAAAATTTCAAAAAAAAAAAAAATCAGAATAGTGTAGAGAAGATTCTACTCCTATCAGTTCACCAGCTCTTACTATGCCAGGCAGGATTACCAGGCAGTTTACTCACATTATTTCATTTAATTTTTAAGAAAAGCATGAGATTAGCATTATTACATCCAATAAGAAAACAAGTCAGTTAAGTAATTTAATCCAATCATTCAACAAATATGTTTTAAGAGTCAACTGTGCTCCAGGTATTAGTGCAGGCATTTGGAATAAAGCAGTAGATAAAACAAAGTCTACTCCTGCACACTTGAATTCTCCAGGAAGGGGAGAAAATATAAAGAAATGGACCAGTGATGAGCTATGGTGCATCAGGTGTTAAGTATTACAGATAAGAAGAAAGCAAGGGGAGCAGAATGGGCATGCAGGAGAACTGCTCAATCCCACACTGCTGGGAAGTACCAAAGTCACCCAGAAACAATGAGAATGAAAGTGGAGAAGGAAAAGGCCACCAGATTGAACAAGTTAAAGGTCATGGCCAAAGAGGAAGAGAAACGGAAGCTTCTCACTGGAGAAGTTCAGCAATGAAAAGAGAATTGGAACAGTAGCTAGCTGTCCCCAATTCCCTTTTTGAAAAGACCTTTAAAGGTAACTTCATGAAGTAGTTGCACAGAGAAACTGGGTCACGCCAGAACACTCCCTCCCACCTCCACCCTCCCAGCACCCAAGAACTGGACAGTGACCAGCACATCCTTATCAAATGCTTGCTTGGGGGAGGGGGGAGGGCAAAGATTGAAAAGCCAGAGACTAATCCTCCACCTGTGGCGCCGGCACACTGGGTTCTAGTCCCGGTCGGGGCGCCG